CATACCCGGTGCTCTCATAACACCTTAATTAAATAATTTGTATTGAGTAAGGTGGTTCAAAATGCTATGAAATTCATTATGTTCACGTTTTATAATTATTTTTAATTTACACTGATTTTAATGATAACTTTGCACATTAAATACTTAATATTTTTTTATGTACTGTATTAATTAATTGTTATTTGATACCCTGATGAGTACTGATGTATCATTGTAATATTAATACTTTTAAATAAACTAATATCAAGCATAAAATCTTGCTACCTTAATATCATTTATAAAACTATTGAAATATGAATTATCACAAAATAAATATTTAAATATTTGGGTAAACAAAAATGTATTAGGGGTGATTCACATATTACGTTCGCACTTGGGGGGAGGGAGGGGGTCGGTCAAAGCGAACTTTTGCGAACGAGAGGGGGGAGGGGGTTGAGACCTTAAGAACGTTCGCACTTAAATAATAAAAGGATTAATTTTTATCAAAGTTAATATTTTAAAAACAACTGTTTTATAATTTTGAATGAATAAATGAACTTTGAATAGATTTATTTCCTGTTTATGAACGATATTTTGAAAGTGAAAAATGATTTAAAAAATGATTTTTTAAAACATCACAAGTATCACAATTGAAATCATACTATCGCTGACAACATGATCACCTAGAGCACTATTCTTAAAATTATTATCTATACTATTAATACCAGAATATATTATTTATAATCATATAATTAGTGTACAGTAGTGCTGTGAAAAAGTCTATCTAAAAATATTAATACCTTAACATTTAAATTGTACCCAAAGTATTTAAACTAAACTTGAGCATTTTTAAATCTTTATTAAATTAGAACAAAAATGTTTATCATTCTCAATTTATATTTTTAATTCACTTCATTGAAACATTTAATCAAGGTTGGATATAATATCACAAATGTCCGTCACACTTATAACGAAATCCGGGCATTTACCAGGATAGTTTACAACACTATTTATAATTATAGATAAGTACTGTAGTGAACCTAATCCCCAGAAGCAATAGATACGGAAACTTCAATAATAATAATTTAATGATTATTGTCAGATGTAATTGGTTTATGGGTTAATGGTTGCCATCTATCGAATCAGTTATCTCCACAAAAATAATTACTTTAATTTATTAGATTTTGAAAACAATTAATTAATAATTAATAATTTTATTCTGAATAAACAAGTAAATTATACATGTGATTATAAATGTTTAGTATCCTAGTATCACCATTGAATAATTAGTACTGTATAACAGATCTACAATATTTAATCTAAGTTAATTGTTTGGTCAAAACTTTTTAAGTTTATTCTAGTTGTTTGAATAATAAAACTAAACTCGCTATAAATACACGACAATTTGTATTAGTATTTGTAATCCAAATTACTGAATTGTAAAGTCTGTACAGGAGTTCTATCATAGATCTCATTGAGAAGTGGACAGACATCAGAGGGTAAGGCACTCAAGAAATCAAGAATAAGTTCTTGTGGTGTCCCTTTAGTACATGTTATAACATTCATGAGTTTTGTGAACTTGGAGTCGGCCTCACACTTGGACTGGTATTTCATTTGCAGATATCGTTGAAGTAAATACATGTAAACCTTTTGTTGAAGTCTACAACATAATAAGAATCCAATTTAAATTAGATAATATTACTGTATTTTATATAAATAATTACATACTTAATTGTTTCCCTATGGGTTAGGTTTGGCTGATTTGAGTCAAATAACACAATAGCTGTTGACTAGAAATATAATAAATATATCAATTATTATTACAATTTATTATTAGTTTAATACCAAATTCAAAATGATTTTGTCGGATTCAAAATATTTTCCATGCTCCAACAACAGTTTTAATGTTGTATACGAATCCAATTGATAATTTTTGAACACTTGTAATTTCAATAAGGTAGCACAATTGTTTTCCTGATTAACACAATTAAAATTATTATTATTACGAGTTAATTAGCAAATTCTTGATTAGGCTATACCTGCGGGAACTTCCAGTGCTCGCACTCGTTATAGTAGTAATGTACTGAACGCATACATGACATTTGGATTAAGCCATACTTCAAAAGTATTAGTTTATCATTTTCACACATGCTTTGAAAAGTTGTTAATTGTTTGAAATTCTGTATGGTTTCGATGACACCTCTCTCGCAATTAATGGTCAACACTTTGATGGCTTCCATTGGGTCTAACACTTGAGTTATGACATCAAAAGTCAAGGTAAACCTACCCTTTTCTGTGGCACTCATGAGTTCCCTAAACTTCATGCCTTCCGTCTCATTGAACGTATCGTTAGGTATATGTCTGTAAAGAGGAACCACCTCTATATTCAATCTACTTCCGTATGGGATCATTGAATTTGTTTTCAAACTGACTTTCAGTTCATTAATTTGTAAATTGAGCTCATCTTCAGTTATTGTCTTATTTTCTAAGATTTCTAATAAATTATCCGAAATTTCATTATCGATGACCACCAATGACTTGGAAGTGTCGGTCGACACATCTGTTTTGGCTATTATTTTACTAATGAGTTGTTTTTGTTTATTGTCTCGTATTTTACGTTTTCTAATCTCCTTTTCCTCGTCATTCAATATAAACTCCTATAAATTGATTCATTATTTATATTTTAATACTTATTGGCAATAAAAATAGCTTTTAAATACTTTTCTCATTCCTATGCCAAAACACTTTTGAAGTCTACATTTCCGACACACAGTTCTCATCTCCACATCGGTTGGACACTTGTTATCGTAATTACATTTCAACGTCTGTTAGCATTCAATTAATTAACTATTTTTTAAAAATTTTAAATAAAATTTACATTTAATTTGTGGGCATTTCTCCGGAAGTATGTTTTACAGGGTTGACACGAAAGGGCGCAAAAATTTCGTCCTAAATATTATCATTTAAATTATAAATATTTCATATCATGTCACAAATAGTTACCCTGAGCTTTAGCACCACAAACACCACATAAATTTCCAGATTTATTTGATGCTGACATTTCTAAATTAAATTATGATCACATTTATAAATTTTCTAAAATTTAAACTTTATTATTTCACTTAATTTTGTAAATTACTTGTATTCAAATGATAAACACAACAAATAATAACAAAGTGATGCCATGTTTTGTTCATCAATTTATGATTTCCGTTCATGACTGATAGATAAATCAAATATACGGTATCTCTCTTATCAAGGCTAAATAGTCTAGAGACAAGGGCTTATAAGTTATGATGCACTTTAATATTATACATTTATTTATAATACAGAATTTGTATACAAGTAAATTTATTAGTTAAAGAACTTTATTTAAACATTATAGTAAGTTTTTAATCTGGGCATGTTAACTTTATAAATTCAGTAACTTTTTTATGAATTTTTTNAATACAGAATTTGTATACAAGTAAATTTATTAGTTAAAGAACTTTATTTAAACATTATAGTAAGTTTTTAATCTGGGCATGTTAACTTTATAAATTCAGTAACTTTTTTATGAATTTTTTTAATTTTTAGTTTTATTTTATTATTAAATTTAATCAAATATATTTTGCCTGTTATTATGTCTATCAAATATTTCATTGAAAAGGGGACTGATATCAGGTGGCAAGTTATCCAGGCAATATTGCATAAGTTTGCGCACACTGTGGGTACAATTGACTGCATCCATGAGTTGTGCAAACTTTGATTTCGCATCCGATTCGGAGCCGTATTTTAAATGTAAATATCGGTGAAGTAAATACATGTAAACTCGTTGTTGTAGTCTATAATACATAAATAATTATACATTTTAATAATTTAACCAAATTCAATCACACAAATAATATACTTAATTGGTTCTCGATAAACAAGGTTTGGGTTGTTTGGGTCAAATAAAACGATTGCTTTTAACTGTTTGCAAAAACAAGTAATAAATTATAATTGCAAAATATTCTTGGTACAATTAGAATGTGCATTACTATGTCCAGAATAATATCGTCGGAATCGTATTCCTTTTTCAATTGACATAATTTTTCAATCGGCAAATGCAAGTCATTTCTAATATTGTCTTTAAGTAACTTCACTTTAACTAGAGTTGAGTTGCAATCGTTCTAGGTAATTATAATAAAATAATTAAAATAATTAAAACATAACTATAAATACCTATACAAACCATAGGAACCCTCCAGTATCCAGATTCGTAGTCATAACAGGTCATTGAGCGCATACATGCCATATGAATAGCACCGTATTTCAGAAGTAAGATTTGATCCTGCTCACACATACTTTGAAATGCATGGAGGCTTTTGAACGACTTGACCACGTATTTGGTGATTACTTCAAATTTGATAACACCCAGTTTAATGGCATCAAATATATTGTCCACTTGTGATGTGGACTCAAGTAAAGGGAGTCTCGTGTTATCATTGACTTTAATTAATTCAATAAATCTCATGATTTCTGTCTCATTAAATGAATGTCTTTGAATGGGTCTCTCTATAGCCACTAAATCGCTATTTGTTTGGCTATTAATCTCATTTGACACATAGTTTTCAATCTCAATAATTTGTAAATTATGTGTCTCTTCACATATATTGTTATTTTCTAAAATATCCACTAAATCCACATTTTCTGTCACTTGATTATCGATATCAATAAGTGACTGACCATCTGCATTGGTTTTTGACTCATCAGGTTTGTCTATTATGTCATTGGTAATCACATTTTGTTTATGTTTCGTATTTTTCCGTTTAAGTCTCCATGTCTTCCTATCCTCATCATTGAGTGTCCATTCCTATGAACAAAAAACACTGACATTAGTATTATATAATAATAACTGCAAATTAATTATCAAAACTTTTCTCATGCCAATAGCGAAACACTTTTTAAGTCTACATTTCCCACAAACTCGTCGCATCTTCACATCTATTTGACAGTTGTCTCCGTAACGACACTTCAATTCCTTAACAAATATTACAATTTTTTTATAGTTTTATATTTAACATTGAAATTAGGATTAATAAAATGTATTACATTATAAACCAATGCATTTCTCCTGAAGAATGATTTACACGATTCACACGAAAGGGCGCAGAAATTTTTGGCTAAATATAAGTTATATTAAAGCAAGTTTGTGTTGATTATTAACTTTAATATAAGCTAATAATTACCAATAGCTATATCGCCACAAACGCCACATATTTTAGCAGGTTTCATTGATTCTGTCATACCCTAATATTTTGTCCAATGTTTATTAACATTTAATTCATTTTATATATAATTCTTTATGGCAAACAAATTATGTCATTTTAATTAAACTAGACACAGACAATATAGTCATACCATATTTTATTAGCCAATATTAATATTTGAAGTTAAGATTTACACAGTACTATCTTATCACAAGTAGTTATCAAAAGCTGGTTTTGTTTATTAAAAGTTATGGGTACATTTCACTCAAACTTTAATTCCTGTTTATAATATTAAGAATCAAATCATGAAGTTAAGATTTACACAGTAATATCTTATCACAAGTAGTTATCAAAAACAGGTTTTGTTTATTAAAAGTTATGGGTACATTTCATTCAAACTTTAATTCCTGTTTATAATATTAAGAATCAAATCAAATAATACAATTAAATTTATTCTAATTTGTATTTTATATCATTAATATTTATTATAAAATTGTCATTTATAACAATATTATGTAAATGTATTTATAACGAATTATTTTAAGTAAATTATTTGCTAACCTCTATCTAACATTTGGTTTAAAAGTGGACTTATATCATATGGTAATTCATCCAGAAATTTTAAGACTACTTTTTTATTAAGATTACTTGAATAATGTTTTATTTTCATAATTCTTGCTAATTTAGACTCCGCTTCACATCCATATCTCATTCGCAGATATCTTAGCAGTAAAAACATGTAAACCTTTTGTTGGTGTCTATAATAAATATATTCAACATTTAATAAAATATAGTGAATTAACGTTGCAATTACTTTATAACTTCTCTATGGATTAGATTTGGATGATCTGGAGTAAACAATATAATTGCTGTCATCTGTACAATTATAATATTTATAAATATAATATTTTAAAAAATTAATAGATTTTATTTAATACCAAATCAATAAATATCTCATCCGAGTCCAATTCCATTCCCATTTCGCATAACATTTTAATTAGATAGTAAGTGTCCTTGTTAATACCTTTAAATACCTTCATATGCACTAGAGTTGAATTGTTATCATCCTGTTTAATACAAATATATTTATTTAATTAAACAAACTTTAATATTAAAACATACTATAGGAACAGCCCATTGCTTCAATTTAAAATCATAAATAGTCATTGAGCGCAGGCATGTCACTTGAATGCCATTGTATTTGAGAAGTAGGACCTGGTCACTTTTGCATATATTTTTAAAGGCATTCAGTCTTTTGAATGCTTTGACCGACTTTCGAAATATTTCATCAAATTTATTGACCGCTAATGTGATGGCATCTAATATATCCTGTACTTGCGATATGAGTTCCAGTGTGGGTAACCTCATGGTATCGATTACACTGATTAACTCCGTAAACTTCATACCGTCTCATTGAATGAGTTGTTATTAATTGGCCTCACGATAGGAATCATAGGAATCACTGGTATTTCTGTAGAATCTGAACAAATGTTGGTATTGTTTGACAAACTATTTTCAATTTCCTTTATCTGAGAGTTAAGTTTGTCTTCATTTATGTCAATGTTTTCTAAAATCTCAAACAAATTATCCGACACTTCATTATCTGTGGTCACCATTGGTTGAAATGCTGAAGAGTTGTCATCATTTTTGTCAACTATTTTATTGACATCTTTATGTTGTTTCTTGTCTTGTATTTGACGTCTTCTACTCTCTTTTTGCTCGCCATTCAGTATCCATTCCTATGAATGGCATAAACTTACTATTAATTATAAAACTATATTAATTATCATTACTTTTCTCATGCCAATGGCGAAACATTTTGTAAGTCTGCATTTCCTACATACAATTCTCGATTTAATATCTATTAAACACTTGTCTCCGTAATAACACTTCATTTTCTGTACAAATAAATGAATTTAAGTTTTATTTGTAATATATATATAATTATATTTTATATAAAAATTATGGATTACTCGATACTCGAAGGCATTTCTCCTAAAGAATGCTTTACACGACTCGCAAGAAAAGGCACAAAAATTTCTCCCTTTAAAATAAACCACAAAATATTTATTTAAAATAAGTTACTATTCAAATAATCTGGCTATAAATACATACCGAGGGCTTTATCACCACAAACACCACAGATATATTTTGCTTTGTCCATTTATGAATTGTTTATATTGTTTATTTAATATTTAATATTTAATTTATTAAACTAAAATATTTTTCAACGACAAATATTGAGATTAAAATGTAATTTAATAATATTATACTTGGTAATAATTGCACTTGGTATTAATTTGTGACACAATCGTATATAAACAACAGATTAATGCTGTATGAACTATTGGCCAAAATTTGATTTAAAACCAAAAGTTATAATATCTTATCTCAAGGCTAACCCAAATCACAATTTTATACTGGTGTTTGGTAATTGATGACAACTGGTAATTATTTGCTACAATAGCGTATGACTTAATTAATAATGTTATACTGTTGATCTAAATTTTAATATTTATAAATATATTTGCATTTACTGAGCTAATAACAATTTACTATAACTAATTACATAATATATAAATAATGTATTTATTACCTTCTAATTTGTAAACTTATTAACATACTTGAACGATAATATAAATAATTCCTATGCAATTCATTCGTATATTAATATTCCTATGCCGTGTAATTCACATTATTTAGTTTTATACAAATTCTCAAATAAATAATTTAATAATTCAATGTTTAATTAAATTTTTATTTATAACGGAATAAATGATATATTTCAGAAATAAATTCGTATGAATGAAATTAATTTTAAAATACAATAGCACTCAAATATAATAAAAAATAAATAGGTCTAGTAATGTTAGAAATACATATATTCTGTCATTTAATAATATGTAATAATTTACTATTATTAATAAATATAGTGAGTAACTAATAAATTGGATGTTTCTATGCCCTATCAAATATCTCATTTAAAAGTGGACTGGTATCGGGTGGTAATGCGTCCAAAAGTTTTAGCACAACTTTCTTATGAAGAATATCTGCATAACCTTTAAGTTTCATAAGTCTTGCAAACTTGGAGTCCGCTTCACATCCATATTTCAATTGCAGATATCTTAGAAGTATAAACATATAAACCATTTGTTGTTGTCTGTAATAAATATATTAAAATTTTATAAGTCATTTGAGTGGTACTTAGTCAACTCACTTAATAACTTCTTTATGGATAAAATTGGGATAATTTGGAGTAAACATTGCAATCGCTGTCATCTGTACACATGAACTAAATATAAGTATTGTTTTATGAAATTAATATATTTTATTGTATACCAAATCAATTAGTGCCTCATCGGAGTCCAATTCCTTTGTCATTTCACATAATATTTTAATTGGAATATATATGTTCATGTTACTATTCTTAAATACTTTTATATTAACAAGCGTTGAAGTATTGTTGTCCTGTACATATTAAATACATGTATATCGACATCTACTATACGTCTTGTTAAAAATATTACGGCACTTACCATAGGAACAGCCCATTGTTTATATTGATTGTCATACATTGTCAGTGATCGCAGGGCTGTCATATGAATGGCATTGTATTTTAGTAGCAGTATTTGATCATTTTTGCACATATTCTTGAAAGCATGCAATCTTTTGAACACTTTCACCGATTTCCTACAAATTTCATCATATTTGTTGACCCATAGTCTAATGCCATCCATGAAATTATGCACTTGTGATGTAATAGTAAATGTGGGGAACCTTATGGTGTTGAGTACACTCACCAACTCCGTAAACCTCATACTTTCCATTTCATTAAACGTATTGTTATTAATTGGTCTCATGATAGGAATTACAGATAATTCAGTAGACAATTCAGTACTATAGGAATCGGTTGACAAACTATTTTCAATGTCTCTTATTTGTGAATTGAGTTTGTCTTCATTTATGTCAGTGTTTTCCAAAATCTCAATGAAATTATCCGACACTTCATTATCTGTGGTCACCATAGGTTGTGATGATGAAGGCTTGTCATCTAATTTTCCAATAGTTTTATTAATATTATTCTGTTGTTTATTGTATTGTATTTTCCTTTTTCTAGTCTCCTTTTGCTCGTCATTGAGTATCCATTCCTATAGAATAATACATTATTATTATTATTATTGATAAAGCATTTAATATTCATTACTTGTCTCATCCCAATAGCAAAACACTTTTTAAGTCTACATTTGCGACAAATACTTCTCAACTCGATATCAATCAGACAGTTGTCTCCGTAATAGCACTTTATTTTCTGTTCAAATAAAAGGATTTAAATTTAATTTCTGGCCAATGAGTGAATACATGGATTACCTGATAATTGGATGCATTTCTTCTGAAGAATGCTTTACACGACTCGCAAGAAAGGGCACAAAAATTTCTCCCTAAATATATAGCACATAATATTTGGTAAATATATCAATAATAGTTATAATTTAAAACTTATAAATACATACCGAGAGCTTTATCACCACAAACACCGCAGATTTTGTGTAGCTTTTCCACTTTTGGCATGTTTATAGCTAACTTCTAATAATGCTTAGTGTATACAATTAGTATAAGGTATCTAAATATTATCAAGATATGATTTATATATTTTATAACATAAAAAATAAAACATGGGAATGGTTATTATTGTTTGTGATATAATTAAGTGTAAACACCAGAGTAATGCCGTAATGACATTTAAGCACAATCAGTTTGTTAGAAACCAAAAGTATGAATATGTTATCTCCACTTCATTCTCAAGGCTTATTCACACCATAATATAATGCATTTGATTACAACTTTTAATAACAATTACTATACAATAATCGTAATGTACTTTAAGACAATTATTTTTATACACAATGCACTGATCAATGCCTGATCAATGGAATTGCATATTAATATTCTGATGATATATTTGTTAATATTACATGATAGCGTAACAGAATAGTTTGCTAATTTAAAATTCAATGTTTAATTAATTTTATTATTTTTTATTAATGATAGAATAAAAACATATTTAATAAATAAATTCAATTTAATGAAAATAATAGAAAAATACAGTAACAATAACAATACCAATCCTAACGTAGTTCGTGAGTTTTATAAGTTCATTTTTCTGTCATTTGATTATTGGTAATTGTACGTAGGTGACATGTTGAATATTTCTAAACTCTATCAAATATTTCATTAAATAGGGGACTTATACCGTGTGGTAATGCGTCCAAAAATTTTAGCATTACTTTGTTATCGAGAATTTTGGCATAATTTCTAAATTGCATAAGTCTTGCAAATTTAGAGTCCGCTTCACATCCATATCTCATTTGCAAATACCTTACGAGTAAAAACATGTAAACCTTTTGTTGCTGTCTATATTGGGATAAATACATTAAATTTTTAATTACATAATGTAATGACTAAAAGTGATATTCACTTACTTAATAACTTCTTTATAAATCAGATTTGGATGATCCGGGGTAAACAATACAATGGCTGTCATCTATACAATGTTAATTTGTAAATGTCATTTAATAAATTAACTTATATAATAATTTCATTTTATACCAAATCAATGAGTGTCTCATCGGAGTCCAATTCATTTCCCATTTTACATAACATGTTAAGTGGAGTATATATTTCATTAGATTTAAATGCTTCCAAATTTATTAGACCTGATTTGTTGTCACCCTGAACAAAATAAATATAATATTAATATAGTATTTTGTAAATATACTCATTATTCATAAATCATACCATAGGAACAACCCATTGTTTATATTGAGTGTTATAAATGGTCATTGTACGCAAACATGACATTTGAATGGTATTGGACTTAAGTAGCAATATTTGGTCATTTATGCACAAAGTCTTGAATGCATTCATTCTTTTGAATCCTTTCACTGATTTCCTACAAACTTCATCAAACATATTGACTGTTATTGTGATGGCATCTAATAAATGCTGTATTTGTGATGTGGATGAAAGCTTGGGAAACCTTATAAAGTCGATTACACTCATCAATTCCGTAAACCGCATACTTTCGGTCTCATTGAATGCATTGTTATTAATGGGTCTCACGATAGGAATCACTTGTTGTTCAGTAGACATTTCATTACTATAGGAATCGTTTGACAAACTATTTTCAAATTCCCTTATTTGTGGATTTAGTTCATCCACATTTATGTTATTATTTTCCAAAATCTCTATTGAATTATCCGACACTTTATGATCTGTAGTGACCATTGGTTGTGATGATGAAGAGTTGTCATCCAATTTGTCAATTGTTTTACTCCTGTTTTTCTTTAGTCTATTTTCTTGTATTATACGTTTTCTAATCTCCTTTTCCTCGTCATTGAGTACCGATTCCTATGAAAGCATATTATTTTACTACAGTATTAATAATAAGCATATTATGAAGTTTATTACTTTTTTCATGCCAATATTAAAACACTTTGTAAGTCTACATTTTCGACACATACTTCGCGACTCGATATCAATCAAACAATTGTCTTCATAAAAACAGGCCATTTCCTGTACAAATAAATTTTTATTTTAGTATTGTTATATAAAAATATTAATGAATTCACGGATTACATGATAATAAGTGGCATTTCTCCGGAAGAATGCTTTACAAGACTCGCACGAAACGGCACAAAAATTTCTACCTTTAATATGAATCACAAAATATTTATTTTTATAATAATTAGTAATATATTTAGTTATAAACACATACCGAGTGCTTTATCACCGCAAACGCCACAAATTTTGTACTGTTTTTTCACTTTTGTCATGTTAATATTTTATTTATTGTAAATATAATTATTAATATACAATTATTAAATTATACTGTAAATAGGATATGTAGTACATATCATGTACATATTTATATTAACATGAAATATATATCAAATTTTGTTGTTTGTGACAAAAAATTAACCATCAACAACTGTTAAGTGAGGCAATAGTTGTTATATTTAATAATAGTATAAAATGATGTTTTAAACCCAATGCTTGATTATCTTATCTCAAGGCTAATACAAACCGGAATCCGATTCATTGATTACTACAACAATTATACTCTTCAGTAAATGATAACTGAACATGTTGAGATATTGTTTAAACTTTATATAGTATACAAAATACTTTTTATCTCATTGAAATATTTTAGTACTTTAGTACTTGAATGTGAACAGTATTTTTATATTGAAATGTAATTGATATGTATATTAATATTCGGTTGATAAATAATTCTTACTCGTTCATTCAGTATATAATTAATTTGATTATTTTTAAATGTATGTACAATTAACAGTAATATTAAAATTTAAAAAAGCATACAGTATATAATTACAGTATCTTTGCAAATAAATAGCATATTTCTAAACCCTATCAAACATCTCATTAAACAGAGGACTTATATCGTGTGGTAATGCGTCCAAAAACTTGAGAATTACTTTCCTATTGAGAACATCAGCATAACGTTTAGTTTGCATAATCCTTTCAAATCTTGTTTCGGCTTCACATCTATATTTTAATTGCAAATATCTTAGGAGTAAAAACATGTAAACCTTTTGTTGGTATCTATAATATAAACATAATAAACATGAAAATCATTGTTTATATAATTATATTAATCAAAGTAGTGTCAACTTACTTTATAACTTCTTTATGTATTAGGTTTGGATGATTTGGAGTAAACAATACAACTGCAGTGACCTGTATACATTCATCAATTGTTTACGTATTCAATAATATTATTTAAGTGTTTACTAAAATTAATATACTGTAGTCAAATATCAATTTATACCAAATCTATGAGCGTTTCATCGGAGTCCATTTCCTTAGACATTTCACATAAAATTTTTATTGGAGAATATACGTCAATGTTATTATTTTTAAATACTTTTAAATTCATTAGAGTTGAATTGTTGTCATCCTATATAATACAAAATGTATTTTTACTATTTTAAAATTTCAAACACATAAATATTAGTAATGAAAACATACAATAGGAACAACCCATTGCTTATATTGATAATCATAAATAGTCATTGAGCGCAAAGCTGTCATTTGAAGTCCATTGGACTTAAGTAGCAATATTTGGTCATTTTTGCACAAAGTCTTGAATGCATTCAGTCTTTTGAATCCTTTCACTGATTTCCTACAGATCTCATCAAACTTATTGACAGCCATTTTCATGGCATCAAATAAATCTTGTACTTGTGATGTGATTGTAAGCGTGGGAAACCTTATAAAGTCGATTACACTCATCAATTCCGTGAACCTCATACTTTCGGTCTCATTGAATGCATTGTTATTAATGGGTCTCACGATAGGAATCACTTGTAATTCAGTAAACATTTCATTACTATAGGAATCGTTTGGCAAACTATTTTCAATTTCCTTTATTTCAGAGTTAAGTTTCTCTTCATTTATGTCAACGTTATCTAAAATCTCAAACAAATTATCCGACACTTCATTATCTGTGGTCACCATTGATTGCGACAATGAAGAGTTGTCATCCAATTTGTCAACTATTTTATTACATTTCTTTTGTCTGTTGTCTTGTATTTTACGTTTTCTAACCTCCTTTTCCTCATCATTCAGTATCCATTCCTATGAAATCAAAAAGTTTTACTCTTAATAAATAATACAAACATAATTTATCAATACTTTTCTCATCCCAATAGCAAAACATATTTTGAGTCTACATTTGCGACAATTACTTCTCGACTCAATATCTATCAGACAATTGTCTCCGAAATGACACCGCATTCTCTGTACATATAAAAGGATTGAAGTTTTATTTATAAGTTATAACGAATAAATGAATGAATTCGTGGATTACCTCATACTCGGAGGCATTTCTCCTGAAGAATGCTTTACACGACTCGCAAGAAACGGCACAAAAATTTCTACCTTTTATATAAACCACATATAATAAGGTATTAATTATAATATAATAATTATAAATGTACTGTATTTTGGTTATAAATACATACCTAGGGCTTTATCACCGCAAACACCACAGATTTTAGGTGAGTTTTTCACTTTTGTCATGTTTATACTTTAATGTTTGTAAACAATGTCAAAATAATATAGTTAACAATTCAAATGAAATACAATATAAACAAAAATTATAATTTTCAATCAATATTGTAATTTTTTGTTGACTGACAAGCTCAAATATAAACAAGCCATATTAACTGCAAAATCTGGTTTGTAAACCAAATGTATGATATGTTATCTCAAGGTTAACCCAAAACCAGAATTTGATGCATTCATGACAACTTGTTATCATTCAATAGCGGATAAATTAAATGATGTTTAGACTACATATATGTAAATAAAAAAGTATTGCAATTAATTTTAATAATATTAAACATAATTAATTATTATAAAATACATATAATATTAAAGTTGTGGGGTATAACCAGAGCCATAAACAGAATTTACATAAGAAATATAATACAAGTATTAGTAATTTCGATGCATTGATTTGATTATAAATATTTTGATAACTCGTAATGTTTTCTCATTATTGTGAATTTTAAAACAATATTTTGTTATTTCAATGCTTAATTAATTTTATAACGATAATTTTTATTCATAACACAAATAGAAATGTATTTAGAAGGAATCTCTCGATGCGGAAAGTTGGCCATGCTAGTTTAATTTGTATGAACATAAACTAAATCATATATTTGATAAATATGCATGGTCAAAAAGTGCGAATTCGGGCGATAAAATGGTCATTTTGCGGTCAAGGAGTTGGCTGACATGATCATTTGTACTTGAATACTATATATACTGTATATATGACTGCATTATACGCATACATTTGCCGAATAAGTTTGCGACACATAAAGTGCTTACTATACGGTTGAGTGCCGTCTAAACTTTTAATACATACCGTCTATACAAATAATGTTAATTTATATAAAACTGATCATGTCAGCCAACTTCTTGACCGCAAAAATGACCATTTTATCGCCAGAATTCGCACTTTTTGACCATGTATATTTATCAAGCATATGATTAAGTTTCTGTACATACAAATTATACTAGCATTGCCAACTTTCCGTATCGAGAAATTCCTTCTTAGCAATTAAATTCATATGAAGAAAATTAATTGAAAAATTGCATTATCATTTATTAATGTGTGTTAGTATAGAATTTTGATAATAAGTCTTTAATTTTAAAAATGCTTTTATTAAAATACATTATTATAAACACTTGAAATACAAAAATTTATTATTAATATAATGTGACGGATCTTAATTGTTGAGTCCAAGTTGTGGTGTGTAGTGGTTGAGTATTTGTTACAATTGTTTATTCCTTTGTGTTTCTTGAGGTCTCGGATGCATTTAGCCGTTGCGATGAGTTTTCACTCGAACTGTACGAACCATCAAAAACAGTATAACTATTATTGGAGGTTAATAACAGTTAATACTGTCGAAGAGACTCCACTTCACTAAACAGTAACACACGATAGGGTCGCCGGGAATTAGAGTTCGAGTTATGAGAACTTTAGGACATATTTAGTAATTGTAGCACAAATGATAAAAGTAGACATTTGTTTGCAGACTTAATATTGTTTTATTTTTAAGTTACATTTTTATATATTTGAGTTCACAATTTAATACATCGAGTAGTGAACTGTTTGAGAACAGAAAACATAAGAGAGAGTTCTGGCGCCAAGCAATGAGTATATATCTGGTATAGAATATTCTGTAACGCGAGTCCAGAATTTCATCAGAATTTTCCTATTCTGTAACGTTAGCGTACATTGCATCAGAATTAGGCTTCGCTGCAATGCAATTCTACACGCCAAGCAATGAGTATATATCTGGTATAGAATATTCTGTAACGCGAGTCCAGAATTTCATCAGAATTTTCCTATTCTGTAACGTTAGCGTACATTGCATCAGAATTAGGCTTAACTGCATTTCAATTCTACTCAAAGCTTGCATCAGAATGTGAATAACTAACATTTATAAGTTATATTTTGTTTTAGAAAAAACACATTAAGGTGTAACAACACGCATCTTGGATTATTTTATATAATAATAGTACTATATGTAAGCTTTAATTATCAATATAGAAAGGGGGTTCTAAATGTCATGCGCGGGGGTCAAAATCGAATTTTGCCCAAATTCTGTATCTAAAAACATGTAATTCTACGGGTTATTTCTCGGTAATGAGAATTACTCGTATTCTGATTTATGGCTCACTTGTTAGCTTAACATGTGCATTTTAAGTGGTGTAAATTTAGTTCATATACCAATGGTATGCCATATGAAAATGAATGAAAAACAAATAATTTTTATGTTATTCTATGGGATATTCTTTAGTTGTAATTGTTTAGTAATGTGTATGTAATAATGTGTTATTGTGGAGAGTGCTCACAATAATATTATTCTTTATTCTAAAATATAAACTAAAACTTAAAACATTCAAATTATTACAGGTACTGTACTACTTTTTAGATATACTTTGTATTTGTTTATCAAATATTTAAGATATGAAATTATTGGAAATTGCTCGGGTATCAAGCAAAATCCTAGTATAACCTGAAAAATACTTCAATTCTTTCAAACATGTCATTAATGTTGAAAACTTTACATTCATTTCTGATTCTGAATATTTGAGTCTTAAATATCGTCGGAGTAAATGGATATACATTTGCTGTTGAAGTCTATCAATGCAAACATTTAACAAAAAATTATATTTAAAATTAGCAATGTCAGTCATAATGAAGACTTACTTAACCGCATGTTTATGCACAATATTGGGCCGATCCGGTGTGAACAGGGCGATGGCTGTCAGCTATATATGAATTTTACAAATTTATAAATACAAATATTTTACAAATATTTAAATTACCAGGTCTAATATAATTGAGTCAAAGTCCCATTCGCGACCATATTTATTGAAAAACTTTTTGTAGAGGTCATAGTAATCCTGGCCAAACATCTTCAATGTTGTCACCTTTAGGACAGTTGTGTTATTTGAGTCCTAATTATAATATTTAAATAAATGTTACAAATGTTATTCAATTAATCTTTATAAATCTCACCAAAACTATAGCCCAATGTTGACGATCATAATTATAGGCAATGAGTGAACGCATGGGTAATATCTCGCGGTAACCGGCCTTCAGGAGAAACATCCGGTCCTCATCGCAGATACCGGTGAATGAACTTAAATGTTTGGACAACAATGTAAGTCGGCTGACATCCCGTTTCAATTTAGTATCCATGGTATATCGTACATCTGGATAATCCACGGACTCGGATGTTATTTTGCTGATCGGTTCCCATATTTGTTTGGTAGCGGTTAGCAGTTCTTCCAAACGATTCATTTCTATGTCATTTAAATTCTTGTCGTATGTATTGATTTGATTAGGAATAGGAATCATAGGAAATTGTTCAGCAAATGATTGTTCAATCTCCATGTCATTCAAATCCAATATATTTTGTGAATTGTTCGCCGAATCTGTGTTCACATAATTTTCAACAATCATTGAGACATTGTTTGTATCATTGAGTGATGAATCCACATCGTACATCCATTGTCGTACATCTGGATATACTGTGGCCTCTGATGTTACTTTGCTGACCGGATCTCTGATTTTTTGGGTCGCGTTTAACAGTTCTGCCAAACGATTCATTTCTATTTGATTTAAATTCTTGTCATAAGTAGTCATTTGGTTAGCGATAGGAATGATTGGAAAGCCCTCATCATATGACTCCTCAGTCTCTATGTCATCAAAACTTAATATATTTTGTGATTTATCCACAGAGTCTGTGTTCACATCATTTTCAACAATCATTGAGACATTGTTTGTATCATTGAGTGATGAATCCGATTGCGTTTGCGATGATGTGTCGGACGAGTGAATGGCATTCAACTCATTATTGACTTTACTTTTGCGCCGTTTTTCTTCGACAATAGCCTTTCGTTTGCTTTTTTCTTCGTCAGAAAATATGTATGCCTTCAGTGATCGTTATATTTATTTAGTAATCATTTATAAGTCTTTAAAAATATATAATACTTTATTCATTCCGACGGCAAAACACTTCATTAATCGGCATTTACGACAGAGTCGTCGACTTATGACATCGATTTCACATTTACCACCAAATTTACACACAAATGCCTGGTCATAATTAATATTTATTTTTATTTTATAAGATTATTATTAAATAATTTAAAAAGTTTTTATATTTATTTACATTTTCTCTGAAAGCATTTCTTCGAAAAAACGCTTTACACGACTCACACGATTGTATACCAAAATTATATGCTTTATTGTAATTAATGTTAATTGAATTTAACGTAAATTATTAACAAGTTTTGATAATATGAGTATAATAATCGGAGTTTATAGCAGCCTTTCAAAAACGATATTCATTTAACCACATATTAAACTATGATAAATACTCTATTCATGTCTATGTATTTACGTGTGATTAATATAATATTATCTAATACAGATATTATCTAAGATATTAATATAGATTTTTGTAAAAGGCTACTATAAAACTCCGATTCTCATATACTCACCGATAGCCTTATCACCGCAAACACTGCAAATCAAACGCTGGGCACCTATTTTCGGCATTTATAGCAATGATAACTAACTTATAGTACTGTATATAAAACTTTATTATTTAAAAAATATTAGATCAATTTAAGCTATGAACACAATTGAGATGGTAGCGACCAATATAGATATAATTGAATTTTAATTTATAAATTTATCAAATATTTAATTTGTGTGCGAATAATGGCACACCTTTCTTAAGCATTGAAAATTTCACTTTGATTCAACACAGAATATCCTTGATTACCAAAACAACCATATTTAACAGTTTAGTGCAAAATTCAGTGCAAACTAATGGAGAATAAACTTACTGTATTATGAAGTGCTAGTATCTTTTAAGAATTAATTAACTGTTCATTTTATAAGATATGATAGGCTTTCTGTGCGAGAGAACTATCTCTAAATACAAATATATCATTAGTTACTAAGAGTTGTATTATAAACTATAGGTAATGTATGAATTTAATGAATGTATCAATGATTATGAAGGTATGAATGTATGAAGATTAGTTTTTATATATTAATAATTAAACTAATATAATTTTTTGTGTTTATATTTTTATGAATAACTGTAGTATTAAATACTAAGGTAAACTTTTATCACCTATCATACATTCATTATATTCATACATTACCTATAGTTTATAATACAACTCTTATTTTGGAAATTTTAAAAATCATGAGAAAGTTCATTTTTAATATATGATTGCTAAATTAAATGTCGAAAATAAATTCTATAAGTAACTTATCCAGCTATATTATTGATCAATTATTAAATTATTCAACCTTAATAGAAATGTGACATTTGCCTCATTAGAAATTATTGCTTTCAAGATCACATTTAAAACAAGAAATTAAATACTTTTATGTTTTCAATGACAATTTTGAATTTTCAAAACACTCTCCCGGACGTAACATACTGTTTGTGACATTTGATGATATGGTGTATGGATTGGGATCTAATGCGTGGGGTAAGCTCGGGTTAGGACACGAAATACGACACATTCATACACCACAACGAGTGCCAGAATTATGCCATCAAAATATTCATCAATTTTTCAATGGAGCTGACTTTGTATTGGCTGTCAATACGGATAATAATGTGATATTCAGTTTTGGTCGAGTTCCTACGAGACAATTGGATGTGGAAAAGAATATGGATATGGCTGGAAATGTATTAGGAGATGTATACCATAAACCGGATACCATATTATTTTTCCAATCAAATAATTTAATTATTTCACAAATAAGTTTTGGTCAGCTGCACACAATTGTGTTGACATCAAATGGACAGGTATTCGGGTGGGGGTATAATGGCTCGGGACAGGTTGGTTGTGGCGATAAGAGTATTGAATGGCGATTAGATCCAACTCCTGTTGAATTTGTCACTGAATATCAAATTAGTAAAATAGAGTGCAAACATTGGGCATCACTAGCACTTACTTGTGAGGGAAAGGTGCTTATATGGGGAGCGGTATTTAGTAAGGGTATCTATAATAGAATAAGAACACCACATCTATTAGAAATTGAAATGAACATACAAAATGCACTTCCAGGAGGTCCTTCCTTTGCATATTTGTTATCTAGCCATGGTCACTTATATCGATATTACTTCGATAGTGATAAGAGGTTAGAATTATTATCACATTTTGTGTTCAATGAAATCAAAAAAAAAGATAACTCAGATATTGTGGGCAAATCTGGTGATAAAATATATAAAATTGTTGGCAAAGATCTGTTTGAAACCAATTATACATCATTTGATGATTATTTTTCACATGAATTGCAAATCACTTTTAATACAATTTCAGTACATATTCAACAAAATACACCAAATTGTGGTAAATATTACAATAATGTCATAATTGTTGCCTTAATATGTTGTCATTGAATTGATAAATATTATTATGTTTTATTATAGAAACTCATGATAAGTTGAATAATTTAATATCATTTGAAAAGTCATTTGATTTAATAAATAAGCTTGGTGAGGGTGGATATGGAGTGGTATATAAGGTTCGTGATAAATGTAACCAAAATGTCTATGCAATAAAGAAATGTCTATTAAATGGTAAATATATTTCATTTTATTTGCAAATTTATAATCATTTTTATTATATTTGTATTTTTTTAAGGATTGACAGAAAAAGAAAAAGAAAATGTTTTGAATGAAACGCAACGTCTTATGAAACTTCGGTCATTGTTTGTCATTGATTACTACTATTCATGGATTGAATGCAATTGTCTTTACTTTCAAACATTGATTCGTTAATTGCGTTAATGTCTGTTGTATCTACAAACATATATATTGTAAATGTAAAAGTTTGCACTTTGAAATATTTTAAACTATAAATATCAAACCATTAGTTATATTTCCATCAGTCATATGGATTATACAAAACGATTTGCTTTTAATAAATAGATCGTATAGTATAACATATTTTCTGTCGATAATAGTATTCAATACAGAATTGAATTCTTTGTCTCCAATAATGGGTTTATTTGTCATAAATGTCTGCAATTGGGATAAAATGTGCGA